TTGATTTCTTTCTTTTTCTTCTCATTCGCTCGATTCAGGTTTTTCTTCACAACAGTTCTTTTTTTGATATTTATTCTTCTATTTTCTTTTTCTTCTAAACTTTCTTTGACAGGTCTCTTGGTGATAGAACAAACCGTTGCTTCGATAATTCAGTCTCGGGATGATTGAGTTTCAGGCAAATTAATCGACACCGTCTTGCTACATGCTGGAAAACTGCTTTCATGTGGGAAAGTTGGAGATGGTGTCCGTTCTCTAGAACACCCTGGTTTCGGTGAAAGCCGTGAAGCTGTTGCTGAACCTGATTTCGCTTTACCAGTAGAAGTTGATGATACCGTGGCAATATCTTCTGTATTACCCACAGACCCTTAAGGGATCGATGCTAGGTTTTCTGCTGGAATGAAATGAACTGTTGCTGGAGCAAAATCCAAATCTGTAAAAATATCGCGGTTAAAAGGCCAAATGCCACATTTTTTAAAGGCATTCCTCTGTCCAGGAAGCTTGTTTTGTTGTTCTTTTTCGGTTATTCACCATCTGGAATAAACGAGGGAATAAAAATTACCATAATGTAGCTATATTAACAACATACACGAGGTTTTATTCAAAGCGGAAGGGCAAAGTGGAAATATTCCCTCCAAACGGGTTTTCCACTTTATCTTCCTAACCCAACTTTAGTGTTTTTGCAACAATATACGCTATTATAAAGTTACCTACCTCTCATTTGCGTTGAACAATTGTATCAACACAAACGGCAGATGTTGAAGATGCACACAACACAAAAAAATATTCAAAAGCAGCAAAATAAACATTGTTTTTAGCACACTGGGCCGGTAGCATAAAACCCGTTTGACCGCAGGTTAGACTTCAACCGACAGTTGAGAGAGATTTTGCGTTGCATAAAGGTTAACCGCGGGTTCAACCGGCGGTTGACGGCCGAGTCGATCCGTTCGGAAGAACAAAAATAACTTGAAAACCATCTTTTCTGCTCATATTTGCACTTTTGTTAGTTCTTTTGATGTGGTCTCAACAGTGCTTGTTATTTTCCATCATCGTTTTGCTCAGTGTAAACACTACATATACGGGAATTGTGTAAAAGTGAGGTTAGTACATACAAATTAATACAAACGTCAAAAATATATCGCTCATTTCTTGTGTGTTCAGTGCAAAGAGCTGTTCAGAATGGCTAGAATTGAAGATGAAAAAGCGATATTTTTGTGGACAGAAAGTGATTCCGAGGAAGAAGACAGAGGACGGAAAGGCAGATTCCTGTGGGCAAAAGACCCTTCATCCGAGTACGAAGAGAATGTGAGGGCAGCCCCAGCACCTAGAAATTTTCGAAAGAGGGTGGATCACTATGAAAGATGGAACGATGAAGAATTCCGGCAGAGATTTCGTTTAAGAAAAGATATCGTGAGATCTTTAGAAAACAAAAATGCGTAGCTAATTCAGCGGAGTTGTGAACATTATAGGTTATTTGTAGGTTTAAGGTTTTCTTCTTAATTTTTTTTTCAATTGGGATACCATCAGAAACCAAAACCTCTGCAACTCACAATCCAAAGAATTACAGGTCCCCCCAGTAATTTGTTACAATATAACACCCAATCTTGAATGCAAGCGATCATATTTATTGGAGGGGGGAGGATAAGAAGTTGTCCCTTTCAATTTAAGGAGACTACATGAAAGAGGACAACGTTTATTAGTTTTACGCCTTGTCAAATACACGAACGGCTCGCGACAGTAATCACTTGGCTGCTACGCACATGCGCAGAACGGTTTATTTCTTTATTCACATTTCTAAATTTAAATTTTCTTAACCTATAATTTTATTCACAAATCACATAATATTGTGGTTGTATTATTCCCGAGAATATTCTAATTGCCAGCTAATGTATCCCTTTTGATGGTTTTGTGCATTAATGAGAAGGTGTAATAAATTAGGATGGATAAAATACAGTGTAAAGTATGTAAGGCTATATTTGCTCAAAGAAAAAATTTGTATGCACATGAACGAAAGTATCATGATGATTTGGAAGCACCATCGACAAGTGCAAAGCAACCTACATTACTATGCTGTACTGTTCTCATGTCATTCATCCTTACAAAGACATGTTAAAAGATTTCACAAAGAGAATGATGACATTCTACTACTGAAGAGCAGAATAAACTGCCCACATGAGAACTGTATGGTAAATGTTCCCTCATTTGACCTTTTACGATCACATCTTGAAAAGGATCATCATATCATATTAAAATGCGCACGCTCAACGACGAGTGTCCTGTATTATATTATAAAGGACAAGACATGGCAGATAACTAAACTTTTTTAAACAATGAAGATTTTGCGTTGATTTTAATGACCAAATTTCACAGAGGACGAATGCGTATGATATTTATTTATATACATTGATGACTGTCGATGAGGTTCGCTCAGGATGTCCAATAGCTTTTTGCTTCTCCAACCGAACAGATGAAGGCATTTTTGCTCTATTTTTTGAAAAGATAAAAATAAAAGCAGGTGTAATTACAGCGAAAATATTTATGTCCGATAATGCTTGGGAGTCGGCGAACATGTACGCGCATACATGTTTGTCGTGATGTTCGATCGTGTGTTCCCTACTTATACGGCTCTACAAGACGCAATGGCACAGGTGTATCTGCGGTACCAGTCTGTGGCCGACTGCATCCCCATGCAAACGCGGTCTTTATGGTGTAAAAATGAGTCGTGATTGTATGGCCCCCATGTGAATTACAATGGGGTTGGCTGCACATACACTCACCCACTAACAGCCAAGGAGTAGGTACTTTTCTCTGACCTTCCAACCATTAAATAAATAGCGTAGATATGCTAACATATTTTGGACATTGATTAACAAATATATTTCATTTAAGATACCTCCGAGATAAAATGCAAGAGTTAGAGATAATACCTTTGAGCTTTCTCGGACCCGTCCGATATAACCCGCTGTTGAACTATCTTTTATTTTTCTATGAAACTGGTTTTAATTTCAGAAATATGGGCAAAATAAGAGGGAACTGGTTAGAAGTGAATATGAAGTTAGCCGTAAATAAAGTGAAAGGGAAAAAAATTACAATAAGAGAGGCAAGTGAGCGTTATAGTGTTCCGAAAAGCACATTAGGAGATAGACTGAACGCTCTTAATGGTGGACTACAAGTTACTTTACAACCATGCACGGCTAATAAAGGCACATATCAAAAAACGTTTACTGAAGAGCAAGAACTTATTTTATACAACCATGTGAAGAATTTGGACAGGCAGTTGATGCCACTGAGCAAGAAAGAGTTCTTAAAACTTTGGTACCAATTTGCAAAACACCTGAAGATTAAGCATCGATTTAATAAAACTTCTGGAATGGCAGGAAAAGGTTTTTATTGTGATTTCTTAAAACGACACCAGGATCTAAGCTTACGAACAGCGTAAGTCGAAAAAATTTGTCTCCACTTTCTGTAAATGTATAAGTATAACTAACGCCGGCTAAGCGTCGAAATCTAACGATTGCCTCAAAATGGCGACAAAAAAGACCCAGATGCGATAATCGAACACGAGCTGAAGGCTGATCTTACTAAGAGGTGTGCATAACGAAGATACAAATCTGTTTATACTACATGCGTATTTTGCAGTATACTGACATCTCGACTTGACAGTTTGGCGGTCATCGTCCAGCGTATGTTCCCAACAGAAACCAAAGTATGTCCGTTTATAGTTGTAGAGAATTGCATGTTTTTAATTAAATGTTTCAAGAATTGTTATTTTACCATAGTAAACGAACAGGGCAAGAAATCAGAGAGAGGTAAATTATTTACCAAATATTATAATTTGAGAAGACGATTTACTAGTATTGGGTTGATTAATAAAAAGACTAAAAGTACAGCTACAGTTCATGATTCAAATAAAGGTGAGAATGTTACTTCCACAAACATTACTTTAAAAAAAAATGAGTACAATGAAGATGTGTAAATTTATAGAGATTGGTGAAGGGAAGAGTGAAATTAGCAAGTGGCTGAATAACAACGTATCTCCATGATGTACGTCTGTCATTAACCATTGGACTGAGACCTTTCATACAAGAAGGAATTTATTTTTGGGATTACCAGATTTCTGTGGCTACAAAGACAATTTGTTGCCAGATCGCACACAATTTAGCTGCTAGTGCAAGTTTCATCTATTAAGGTGCGTATACATATGCGAGCCGAACCGTTCGCGAACCGCTCGCGAACAACTGGTTCGTTAGATTGGGACGGGATTTGTTAGCGCTCGCGAACCGTTCGCGAGCGGTTCGTGACGAACCGTTCCCTGTCGGTTTTTTCGACGAACACAAAGGGATTCGCAGTTCACATTGGGACGTGTTTGTGCGAGGTTCGTCGTTTTTATTCCGGTCGCGAGGTAATTTATAAATATGGAGTGGCCCGAGGAAAATATATTGCGGTTAATAAACATCTATAAATGTAGACCTTTATTGTGGGACCCCAAAAATGTTAACCATTTTAAAAAAAATTTAAAAGAAGATGCTTGGCGCGAAATAGGCGTGGAAATGGGAGGTGTCTGCAGACCAGTGTAAAAAAAAAGTAATATGTCTACTGGCTTCGTACAGGCGTGAGAAAAACAAAGTGAAGACAAGCACTGGAACAGGAAAAGGTAAAAATATAAAATACGAATAACAACATAAAATTACACACGTTTCCAATTTTTGTTTTTGTTAAATTAAGTTGTTAACGTTGACATTTTAGTTGTTTGGACCTACTTAACTTACAATGTATTCATACTAATAAATTACACTAAACACTACATAATTTACGTACAATTACAAAGTAATAGTTGAAATACAATAAAACATTTACGCGGATGGATGCTTGGAATAATGTTAATTTTGTATTGTAGGAAGAGATGAAGTTTATGTAAGCAGATGGTTTGCCTACGAAGCTTTCAGCTTTCTGGAAGACAGGGATTTGCCGAGAAAGAGACTTGCCACGGTGAGTAAATCCTCTTAAGCATATTGGTTTTGCCATTCTAAAAATCCTTCCTTAATAAAATAATCAGCTATTTCATCCCTAATTCTGGAACAGTAATTGGTGGATCTTCGAGGAACATTTATTAGCGGCAACATAGACGTCATATCTCCTTCTTTCCTCCATGACCCTTCGATTAAATTCCCCTCCATTTCATTGTCTAATAAGCCAACAGGTGCATACAGATTAGGTGAATGCGTTCTAAGATAATTATGTAACAGGATGGTCGTCATTACTACCAATTCCGTTGTTTCGGGCTTCAAAAGCATTGGTCTTCTTAAGACCCTAAACACGGCACTTGAAATACCGAAGGCGTTCTCTACTATTCGACGGCCCCTACTCAATCGATAATTGAAAATTCTTTGAGGAGTTCCTTTAGCGAAGTCTCCTGCGTATGGTTTCATGAGATTTTCACTTAAAGCAAAGGCACTATCGCCTGCAAAGAAATAAGGTATTTGCATACTACGCCCCGGTAGTTCTTCTGGTAATGGAAGTCCCAATGTGTTTTCTGCAAGCATTCGATGTAATTTACTCGCCTTAAAAACTCCCCCATCTGAAATTCTGCCTTGGCATCCCACGTCAGCAAACATAAAGTTATAATTGCCATCAACTAATGCAAACAGTACAATACTGAAATTCGATTTGTAATTAAAGAACTCAGTACCAGAGTTCACAGGAGCTTGTAAAACAACGTGTTTGCCGTCGATGGCACCAACACAGTGAGGCAGATTCCAACGTGTTTCAAATATCTTGGCAACTTCCGTCCAAGCTGCAGGAGTCGTGGGTAACTGAAACAGAAAATACTTATTCAAAAAAATGGTTTATTAGGGTACTATTTCAATTTAAAGAAGAGGGGATTCAATGTAAATTTAATTCTATTTATGAACACATTTGATTCATGAATTAATATCTAAATTTTAATTTTAGGAGGCGGATGATGTACAAGATGGCGTCTATCCAGTAGACTCGCCTGTCGGGCAAATTGATCAAGAAGCAACACAGAGGGAAGAAGAGACACAGCCACCTTCTACGGTCAAATCTGATAAGCGAGTGAAGGGGAAACGAGATGATATCAGTTCTCCAATGATGAATAGTGCGTTTCGGATATTGGCAGCTGCCTCAAAAAAGTTGGACATGAAACCGTGTCCTGCAAATGAAATTGATTCATTTTTCACATATGTCGCTACGAAAGTTAACAAATACCCTTCTGAACTACAACAGGTGGTTCAGCACTCCATTTTTGAAGTACTTATGCATGCAGATAGAGGTTTGCTTTGTTCGCCTACTCCAGCTTATCCGTATCCTACTAATTGGCAAAACTCTGTAGGAACTGCACCAATTGCCACCGCCCACATGTATTCACAGCCTACACCCCATTCTCAACCTCCTTCCCTTATGCATTCCCAAGCTACTCCCCATATGCATTCTCAACATAGCCATCCTGTGTATTCACAGTCACAGCAGGAAATACCTCCTGCTGCTACACCTTCAACATCTGGTCAGTCTTTATCTGTGCCCTCATCACAACCGTCTCCTGATTTATCAACGACGTCAGAGAACTTTGAAGATTTTCTGTAATGTACCTTTACTTATGTGTTTCCTAACTTTCTAATTACATTTTATTTGTAATTAAACTTAAAATTTGACCAAAAGAAATTCCTTGTATGTGAATGAGTTATTAAATATGTTACCTTAATATAACCCTGCAATTCCGTCACAAGTGCTGCGCAGACTTGTGGTACTATACGTCCAATGGACTGCTTGGAAATCCTAAATAGGTACTGGAGGCTAACAAATGAATCACCCGTAGCAAGGAACCGAAGTGTTACCGCTAGTCTGAAACAATAAATTAGTAAAAAATACAAACACATAAATATCCTAGTATTCACGGTAGCATTATTTACCTGTCTTGAGCGGATATTGGAGTGCGAAAATAAGTTTCCTCTTTCGAAATTTGGGGGCCAATCTTCTGCAATAAATTCTCAAAATCTGAAGGCGACATACGCGTGAAGTTTTTATATTGGCCGCTCATTTCTTGTGATTTCATGTCGATAATCAGTTCCGTGCCGCTGCGTTTTTTATATAAGTCGGTATGCCACCAACGCCTTTGCTTCCTCTTTTTTTTAGCCAAACTACCCATCACGAGAGCTGCACTGCTCATAACCATAATAGTGTAAATTTCCTCGCGCGAAGACATGTTCAATATATAGAAGTACACAGCCGACTGCTGGTGGTTTGCGGCTGGGTCGGCTTTTCCATGGATCGTTGGAAGTTCGTTGTAAAATTAATTTCAAAGAACAGTTTTTGAGCGGTTCGCGAACGGTTCGGCTCGCATATGTATACGCACCTTTATAGGATAATAACGCTCTTAGCATCTGCAGCTAAAATAATTTGCTAAGAGAGCAAAGAGATTCAGTGAGTGGTACTTCAATATGTTAGTAGTGGCTACAAATGGGACTGGTTCTATTGCAAATTTCGTCGATTATTGAATACTAAATTTACTGGCAGCCGCAGCTAAAGTTATTTGTTAGGAAAGCAAAATAGTTTAGTAACAGGTACTTTCAGATTCTAGTAGGAGAAGCAAAACGTATTTACTGAACTAAAAATAGGGAGCATTTTTTCTTTGCTCTTGCTACAAAACTTTTAGCAGTCCATATAGGTGCAAAGAAAATTTTTTGTTCTTATGACAAATCATTTTTCTCCGTGGGAAAAAAATAAATCGGTACATGGAAAATTACGAGCTTCAGAATAGTTATGTCCCAATTTTTGAGCTCAACCGGTTGCACAGGAATCCTCGATTTTGAGTGGGGCGGCCAGCGACGTGAGTAGTCAGCCCCCCCACGGTTAAAAAAAATAATTAAGCAAAACATGATAACATCAGATTTATGAGCTCAACCGATCGAGCAGGAATTAGCGATTTTTAGTAAACAAGAAATGGGCAAAAACATGATGACATTAGAATTATGAACTTTCGGAATATTTAAGTCCTAAAGTTTGTTCTCAATCGGTGAGCAGGAATTCGTAATTTTGAGTGGGGCGGCCAGCGACGTGAGTAGTCAGTCCCCCCACGGTTAAAAAAAATAATTAAGAAAAACATGATAACATCAGATTTATGAGCTCTTAGAATTATAGTTAAGTCCCAATTTTTGAGCTCAACCGATCGAGCAGGAATTAGAGATTTCCAGAAAAAAATGACATTAGGTGCTTCTGTGCGAGATTTTCGTATTTTTAGGTGGACTGAGGAGGGGAGAGAGTACGTGAACGTGAGCATGAATTAATATTGCGAAATGTCCTTTATTTCGGAAAGTTTAGTGGTTTACGAGCTGACAAGTATTCCATTTTGGAATTTTTAGCTGCAACCCCTGTGCATGGTTGCTAGAGAAAAAAGGTAACCTATAAGTTAAAACTCATACATATTGCTCTTACACATTATATATTGGTGCAAAGTCACTCGATAAATCTCAGCGAAAAAGAAACAAGAGTATAAATTGTGCACAGGTCTTGTGCAGATAAAGCGCATTTTTTTTAAACCGAAATAGCTTTTGTTTTGACATCACCAATGGATATATTTCATGCAGACGTCTCAATCGCCCTTTGTGAGTAGGTACCTACGTTTACTATTCAGTTAACGTCGCTAACTGAAGTACGAGACGTAATGCGGTCTCTCAAAAACAGTTACAGCAAAGATGTGTATGGTATAACAGTTAATTTATTAAAACATAATATGTTTGTACTCGAGCCTGTTAGTTAAATTAATTAACAGTGCGCTGAGGGAGGGTGTATTTCCCGATGCCTTGAAAGTCGCTGTTGTTACTGTTAAATAATGTAGTATTTTGATACCTATTTTCCCTCTCACTTGCTGACCTTCAGCACCCCTTTGTATTGTATAGAGGAATTTTGTAAATATAAACTAGTTTTTAAGAGAAAGTTACATTCTTGCCTTTTTCGGCTGGTCATTCTTAGTCATACAGTCCACTAAGGCACATGCATTAAATAAAGTTAAGGTTATTTTATTAGTGCATTTTATTTTTTCTACAATAATACTACATAATTTGGTCGTATTCGAACCGGATCAAGCACATCAATCAACAAGAAACATCAGCAATCAGCACATCAATGACAATCAAGCAGAAAACATCAGCAATCAAATCATCAACAAAGCAACAAAGAAGCACATCCGTTATTTCCTTTCCATCTGCGGCAAGTACATCATTCGTGACGATTAGCAGCGTATCTACGCCACAGCACAACAACAAAAATTATTTCAACCGGTGAGCAAAATCATATTATCCAATATTATTCCTTACCCCTCACTTTTGTGCAGCAAATGTGTAAAATTTAGGGTTAATAATTATAAAACTTCAAAATGACAGAGGCGCTAAAAAATTTGAATATCAAGCGAGGTGTTTGTAAGCGACAGTTAACGAACTTTGACAATTTTTTAAAATCAATCGAAATTGAACCAATCAAATTAAAGCAATTAACATCCATCAACCTGTAGGAAGTTAGCGACGAACTATGCGCAGCGACGATGACGTCAACCATTATGCATATAACAAAGCGGACATTTACTAGATCATTAATTACGCAAAAAAGTATTGTAAACCATGAACCTGAGGTAAAACAATTTTAGATTCTACATTAAATAAACTATTTAATTTCCAATTTTTATAAAAATATCCTAAAGATAAAAAAGACGAAGCATTTTATTTTGCTATACGTTTACTTAGACAAAGTGATCATCGTCGACGTAATATTTCGCAAAAAGTATTGTAAACCACTGCGGTAAACAATTTTAGATTCTACATTAAATAAACTATTTAATTTCCAATTTTTATAAAAATATCGTCTACAGATAAAAAAGTTACGAAGATCTGTGCGGTCTAACGTTCTTGCTATACCGTTACTTAGACAAAGTGATGCTCTTACGCAAAAAGCATTGTTAACTATAAGCTGCAGTAAACAATTTTGAATTTTACATACATAAAACTGTTTAATTATATATTTTTAAATATTTCAAAAGCTCTACGTCGAATTCTCGTTGCTCCCTTCCAAACTATTATAAACCCATGCTGATTTCAAATCAAACAGCAGATATGATAATAATCCGAAAGTCACTGCATGCCAGTGTTGTTAATGTGCAATACCAACATTGTTGGCAATGGTTCAAAATATACCCGTCACGATGAATACTACATTACTATTATATAAATAATAGCAAAATGCTACTGGTCAAACCATAAACTTTCCCAAACGTTGCAAACCTTCGTCGTTCAAATGAATACCGTCTCTTGCATAATACCTTTCATCCGTAAAGAAGCTGTTTACGTCCATCAGCACAAATCGACCTGCAAACAAAGATCATTAGTTTATCATATATGTATGCATGTAATTATACTTACGGTCTTTATGTGTCTTGAGAAAATGGTTGAACTTGTTCAGCACGCCTATCTGGGCTTGCCGATGCCGAGCATTATAGGAAGCACTGTGACATTTAAATTGTTTCAACGCCTAACGACTTCAACGAAAGCCATTAGACGCAAAAAACGACAACTTCATAGATTGGTACGACTTGTTCTGCAATAGAAAACGGTTAGATTAAACAATATAATATAAAATGTCACTTACCCTCAAAATGTCATTTTGTACCAATCATTACGTACACTGTTGGTGCCAGCTTTACCCGTACGTCTCTGATTTGCATCGAACGACCTCTTCGCAGCTGGAGATAGTTTGCCCCACCAATAGCCAGTTGTGCAAACAACTTTCGGCTTCTTCTTTCCCATGGGACCGTCTCCATCAAAGGAAGACCAAAACCGCCGTCAACAGCCTCCGTACGTTGGACGCTCCCAAAACTCCACTTCTTTCTGAAACATTAAAATGGTATTAGAACAAGAATACAAAGATAAAAAAATTTTATTAATATATACTTACATCATAGATGAGCAACATTATCGATAACGAAGACAAGCGAATTTGCAAATACCAAACAGCACTGTTGATAAATATTTTCAACTTCAGGGTTTTATAATATTTTGTAGATTAGTATATTAAAAGTATAATGGATATTAAGGCTTTTTAAACACGCGCGATTTTTTCGAGCCACGGACGGCGTAGCCGGAGTTGCTCGAAATAGAGCAAGTGTTTTAAAGACCAGTTATCCACGAATACCTTTACGCTATTTTTTTATTACTACACTTTTAAAAATCGTCATAATTCTATAAAAATGAAATAAGAACTAATACAAAATTGGTTTAATTAGTGATATAAAATCAGTATACCTTTCCGTTGCTATGAATAATGAGAAAAAACAAGAAATTATTTTGAAATCTGTCACATCCTACTTTATATTGTTGTCATCAACAGTTAGTACTTTATAAATGCTTAAAAATGAATTCTAACATTGACTGCTTAAGTAGAAAAGCAGAATCGCGGTTGATACCGCAAAAATCAGAAGATGCATAAACGAGAGTACGACAAGTTTGTGCAATGGATTGAAGAGCAGAAGTAATACATATAAATGAACAAGTAGTGCTTGCTTATCTGCAGAAATGTCGGAGCAGTACAAAGCATCGACTATGTGGGCTATCCATGTCAAAAATTACAGTGCAATGTTAAGAATAAATAAGGGCGTTGATTTAAAATCATTTGTTTAAAGTGCATGCATTCATGAAGGCAATCAGCAAAAATGATGTACCCAAGAAGCATATGTATTCCAGGAAGAACACTTTGCGAAAATATCTCCTCTC